GTACCGCGAGCTGTACATCCTGGAGAACACCACGGCCTGGGTGGAGGCACGCTGGGGGCAGCAGCTCCTCCGGACCCCCAACCACACCCTTCACCTCAGCCAGGCCGGTGAGTGCCCCTGGGAGCGGGCTGGCAGCCAGAACCAGCACCAAGAACTGCCAGAAAACCCAAAACCACCTCATTTTTCCAGTCAAGCTGGATCCACCCCCCTCTGGGATGCCMTTCTCCAAGGCTGGTGGCCAGCTGAGGGTCAGGGTGCCACGGCCGCAGTGCCACGGCCTGGAGCAGCCACCACAGAGGGAGGCTCGCTTCTGGAGGGTGGGACACAGCGGCTGGACACAGGTAAAATGCTGTTTGCTGGAGATGCCAGGGGCTGACAGGACAGCCGGGAGCACATCCCGGGAGTGCAGGGCTCAGTGATGTCACTGTCCCCTCCCGGTCCAGCTGTGGCCCATCTGTTTGGCTGCGTTATCGGCTCTGCCCTGTCCTCCGGCCGGGGGATCCTGCTGCTGCCCATAACAGGATCAGGCCGTGATTCTCGGGGATTACACAGGCAAAACCCCGGATTATACTAATGACGACAATGGATCAAATCCCAACGCTTGTCCCCAAAGGAGCTCCCGCAGCTGGAGACCCCCACCCCTCTCAGTTGGTGCCAGGAGGGTCCCAGGATTGAGGGGACCTCTGGCCACCATGTGCCCTGGGTTCCATTTGGCTCTCCGAGTCCCTGGGGTGTGTGGGGATCACAGGGCAGATCTGATGTCCCAGTAACACACTGGGTTCACTGGGTGGGTGTCTCTGTCCYCGGTTCTCTCTGCAGGTGACATGTGAGACTGTGACAGTGACAGGTGAAGCTGACTCAGGTGGGTTCAGCCTGTGGGGCTGTTGGGGACAAGCATCTCCCAGGGGTGTTCCACACCCTGGTGGGGTGCTCTGCCCTGTGCTGCACCCCCAGCACCCCACGATGGCCAAAAGGTGGGAAAAAGAGGGGTCACTCATCCCCTGACCCTGCCACCCCTCTCTAGTGACCTGTGCCCTGGGGRTAAACGGCACCTTCGTGGTCCAGCTCCGGCACAAACCTCCCACCTGGAGCAGCTACTGGAGCGACTGGAGCAGYAACATCTCTGTCCCCGAGGGTGAGSRAGARGASAGGAGCCTGGTGAGATCCCAACAGCTCCCGAAAATGTGCAGAGTTCAGCCAGGCTTGTTCCTCCCACAGAAATCCGGCAGAGCCCGGTGCTGACCCACCAACTGGGCAAACTGGGGAGAGACGGGCAGCGGGTGCTGCGGCTGAGCTGGCAGGTACGGTCACATCAGGCACAGTGGCACCCCTGGGGACCCTCCNTCAGCCAGGCTTGTTCCTCCCACAGAAATCCGGCAGAGCCCGGTGCTGACCCACCAACTGGGCAAACTGGGGAGAGACGGGCAGCGGGTGCTGCGGCTGAGCTGGCAGGTACGGTCACATCAGGCACAGTGGCACCCCTGGGGACCCTCCYGGGTRTCCTCCAACCCTTCACCCCCSGAGTCGCCCCCTTYCCCTCCCCAGCCRGTCCTCAAGGAGCAAAGGGATGTCMGCTACAAGCTGGATGTGCACATGCCGGCGTGCGGCTGCGCGGAGCCGGACGAGGAGGACGCCGCGGTGCTGGGCTGGGAGGACACAGAGCACAACCTCACCCTCTCCGGGGCMGAGTACAAAATCCTGCTGACCGCGGTCAACGCCGCGGGGCCGGGGCCGGCGCGGCAGCTCCGTGTGCCGGCAGGACAGCACGCAGGTACCGGCCCCTAGAGAAGGGCCGAGCTCCCCTGGCAGCCCTCAGGGCTTTGTTTTCTCCAGCTACCCCAGATATCCCCCATTTCACCCCAGATCTCGGCTTCAAGGACATCAGCGTGGCMGGCGGCACCGTGAGGGCGCGGTGGGAAGCGCCGGTCCCCGGCGACGCCTTCTGCTTCGAGCAGCAGGCACTGCCAGACCCCCCAAAAACGGGAGTCTGCGTCCAGCAGGARTTCCGTGCCAACAGCAGCCGCGTGGAGAGAGGCGAGGGAGAGCCCCAAACCCCTCTGTGTCCCCGCTCGGGGTCAGAGAGTCTGACCAGTGTCCCCAGTTCCTCCCCAGGAGCGCCCCAAACCCCTCACTGTGCCCCTCCCGGGGTCAGAGGGTCTGACCAGTGTCCCCAGTTCCTCCTGAAAGAGCACCCCAAACCCCTCTGTGCCCCCACCCAGAATCAGAGTCTAACCAGTGTCCCCAGTTCCTCCCCAGGAGCATTGGGAGCGCCCCAAATCCCTCGCTGTGCCCCCACCCGGGGTCAGAGGGTCTGACCAGTGTCCCCAGCTCCTCCTCAGGGAGCGCCCCAAACTCCTCTGTGCCTCCACTCGGGATCAGAGGGTCTAACCAGTGTCTCCGGCTCCTCCCCAGGGACACTGGGAGCACCGGGGTGTCACCGCCTCGCCGTGCACGGCTGGGACGCGGAGCGGGGCTGGGCCACCTTCGCCCTRTGGCACCACTACGCCGGCAACGGTGAGTGCGGGAGCGCGGAGCGTCGCTCGCGGTTTCGCTGCGGGAGGGGCTGGAATTCCTGGGAGAATTKCCCGTTTCTCTGCGCACAGACTCGCTGGCCGTGCCCTTCAACATCAGCGCCGCAGACGCCGCCGTCACCCTCCAGTGGAGCCCGTCCCCACGGGCCACCTGYCCCGGAGCGCTGGCCAAGTACCTCGTCTGCCACGCGGCCGAGGGGGACAACCTGACCTGTGAGTGGCACTCCCCGACCCCCGTGGGGCAGGAGGAGGGTGCCAGACTGCCCCACGCTRGTTATTGTTTGCCCAGACAGCGAAGTGGATGCCGCAGCATCAAATTTCACCCTCCGAAACCTCCAGCCCGGCACAGCCTACAGGGTGGGCGTGTGGGAGGTGACACAGGACAGCGAGGGGACCTGCAGTGCYTGGTGGCGCTTCCAGACCAAGGCGCTGGGTAAAGGCTGAGACCCCGTYCTCATGGGGGGCTCTCTCCACTGGYTGCTCGCCCTCGCCCCAAAACGTCTCCTGTGTCCCCCACGGGGTGTTGGGGACAGGAATGCCACCACCCAGCCACCCTGGCCATCCCCAGGTCCCCAGGGAGCAGCGTGGAGAGGCAACCTGAAGTACCTGGGAATCTCTCTTGGGCTCCCCGCCGCGGCTGCCATCTACCACCTGAGCAAAAAGAGGTGACACAGCATCCTCTGTCCCCAAGGCCACTCGGGCCACCCCCGCCATCACCTCCCCCCCCTCACCAACCACTCCCTCCCCAGGGCTCGCCGCCTCCTCTTCCCACCCCTTCCCAAGCCCGTGGGCACCAAAGCCATCCAGTTCTCCGCCGGCGAGATGAGGCAGGTGAGGTGTAAAGGGCAGGAGGGGGCAGATCCCGCAGCCCCAACCGCCCACACACAGCCCTGGCACCGGACATCCCACCCCAAACCCACCCAACCCTTAGGGCCAGCCCCGGCCGGGCCTCCTGGAGCCCTCGGAAAGGTTCAACCCAGCCGAGCTGCTGCTGCCGGAGCCCAATCCCAGCGAGGAGGAGGCTGACACGGGCACAGGGACCGCGGTGGCACAGCCCGAGGAGCCGCAGCCGTGCCCAGCGCTGGAAAAACCGGCGGAGGTGGCGGTGTCCCCGCCGGGCTGTGCGGAGGAGCTGCCCTTCGCCTACCGCAGGCAGGAGATGCTGAGCCCGGCGGGATCTCCGGTGCCCGGGGAGGAGGAGGAGGAGGAGGAGAAGGAGGAGAAGGAGGAGGAAGAGGAAGAGAACGGGAGGCAAGGGCCGCACCGACCGCTGATCCCCATCGCTCTGCTCATCTCCGACAAACCCATCATCATCAGGGATGGGGAAGGATGGGATCCCGCTCCGTAGCCGTCACCGGGCTGGAGCGGGGGGACGGACGGCAGGAGGGGACAGGGGTGTCCCCTGGAATGCTGAGTGTCTGTGCGGGATGCTGAGCGCCCGGCCCCGGAGCTCAGGGTCACACCGGCACCTCCAGGGGRTTTTCTGGTTTCCAGGACGTGGAAAGCGATGCTCGTGGAGGGAGCATCGCACCGGGCCAAGTTTTGGCCACTCAATTCCCAGCTTCAGCTTTTCACTGGGGATAAAAAACGAGTAAAGGCAGCTGCAGGGTCTGAGCAGGACCGAGGGTGTTTCCATGGCTGGGCTGGGAGGAGAGGCAGAGCTTCACCTCTGGAACCAGCATCCAGTGGGACGGGGACGCAAAAAACCCCGGCACCAAACTTTAGCTACCTGAAAAAAACCGAGTAATGTGCAAAAAAAAATTTTAAAAAATTGAAAAGGAAAAATAATAAACACAAGCATAAAAAAAAATTTAAAAGAATTGCACAAAACAGCAGGACTGAGATGGTTTTCCCTCGCCTGACCCGGGCAGATTACAGCCAGGATTTAGAAGCGAGGTTCAATCCACAGCGCTGAGGAGGACGCAGCCAGGCAGCCGGGCCGGGGGTGATCCATGGGGGCCCCCCCAGCCCCTTCCCGTGGGGCCGCGCCGCCGCCTCGGGCCTTATCTGGGGCAGAACGGGAGATGAAAAGCGATTTGTGGTTTCCTCTGCCTGGCGCGGCGGTGTTTACTTGCTGAGACGGCAAAAAAATCTTAAAAACCTAAAAGCTACGTGGGGTTAGCAACGCGGGGAAATCCAGGTACGGCAGCGCCGCGGCGCCTCAGCCATTGACACTCATCCTCCTCTCCGCTGCTTTTGGCCCCACTCGTGTTTTACAAAGAATTTTACCAAAATTGCACTCGCAGCAGGGCGGAAACTGCGAGGACAGAGCCCCGGGGAGGCACCTTCTCCCACAGCTCGGCCAGGCACGGTCGGGTTTGCGTTTCTGGCCATTCCCAGCGCTCCAGGGATGAGGTGGCCGSCGGGTGTCGCGGGCAGGATCCCCATCGCGGTGTCACCACTGCCGTGTCCCCGGTGTCCGGTACCGCGCTGCCGGCGGAGCCACGAGGTGGCACCARCCCCACGTCCCCACGGCGATTCCCAACCTCCCGGCGGAGCAAATCCCCCGTTCCCGTCCTGCCGGTGACAGRAGGGTGGGACAGGCAGGACGGGACAGGCACGACCCCAGCTTTGCTCCTCCAGCCCCAAATCCCTGCGGATCTGCTGGAGGATGGAGATGTGGCACTCTGCCGCGCAGAAAGCCAGCGCAGAGATCAGATTTGGGGATTTTGTTGGGATTTGAGCCATGCCAGGCTCGCTGTCACAGCACTACAGGCACACGTGGAGGAAGTATCCGGTGACGGGCGCGGGGGCACGCTGGGGTTTCGGTGTTTTTTCCCTGTTTTTCCCTGTTTACAGCCCGGTTTTGGGGTCAGAGCGCTGAGGGAAAGCGCTGAGGGTCACAGCTCAGCACGGTTGGGTGGCAGCAGTAAACACAGGGCCCGGCTCGGGGCCAGCGCCGGGGCCAGTTAATCATTCCAGCTCACGGAACGAGTTCACAGCAGGACAGCCCGGCCCCGCGCTGCGTTAAAAACACCCTGGGCGAGGAGGGGACGGGAGACCCCCTCATTGTCCCCATGGGGTGGCTCTGCAGGGATCCATCCCACCCTCCGTGCCACTCACATCCCCTCTGATACTTCAGTGTCCCCACTGAAGGACTTTTCCTCACACACATCCCGAGCTGGCCAGTGCTCAGCCAGGAAAACAGAGCCCACGGACGTGCCGGGGAAAACTAATCAAGCCAAGCTTGCCAATTAGTGCGAGCGAGCGGCTCGGGACTTGCTAATTAGTTTAAATTTCACAGGACTGGTTTCCAAATGAGTCCCCAGGCACCACGCTGAGCTTGGTGACCCAAGGCCAGCCGCCAGGCCAGAATGTGACCTTCCCTACTCCTCCGTCCCAGACGTGCCACAGGGCACTGGTTATGCCTGGCAGGAGCCACTGCCACCCACAGCCTGAGCAAAACTCATTACTCACAGCAGGGGACTCATTACACCCAACCAGGGACTCCTTCAGGGACAGCTCTGGGATCAGCAGCCAAAATCCATCCCAAATGAAGGTCAGCCCAGTGCTGACCCCAAAACATCGACCCCAAAGTCACCCCGTGGGGTCTCCTGTTCATACCCAGCAGTGCCAGAGCTGCCCACACGTCAGTGGTGACAATGTCATTTATTGTCATTTGTTGTTCCACCGCCCTAAAGGGAAAATCCTCATCCTCCCTATTCTCACGGGGTCCCAGAGCCGTGTCCCCAAAAGCAAAAGGCACCGGGGACATGTGCAGGCAGACTGAGCTGGCTCCTCTTGCTCCTGTGAAGCGGAAAATTCAGCGCAGTGTCCCAAGGAAGCAGGTGGGGCACCAGAAGGAGCTGCAGGGAGGTGGTGCCAGCCCGGGGCTTGGCTCTTGGCTCCCTGATTTTACAGAATCACAGGATGATCGCTGAAGCTGGAAAAGCCCTCTGAGATCATCGAGTCCAATCCAACACTGCCAAACCCGCTGCTAACCAATGTCCCCAAGTGCCACAGCCRCATGGATTTTTGATCCCTCCRGGGCTGGTGACTCCACAGGCRTCACCACAGGGTTTGTTGACAACCATTTCCATGAAGAAATTTTTCCCAATATCCAACCTAAAASCCCCTCTGGTGCAACTTGAAGCCGTTTCCTCTTGATTTCGGGGGAGGAGAGCTCAGATGGCGCCAGAGATAAAACATAAAATAACCAGAGGGGTTTGCTGTGGCCCCATCAGCATCAGCTCTTGGAGGATCCGAGCCCCTGGGGAAGGAAAGGTCCATCCCTGCGGGCCCAGAACGATATTTTAACACCAGATTAAGGTGGTTTGCTCCCAGATTGAGAAGTCTAACCTGTTTTCCAGCCTCGGGGAAACAGCCCCGCGGAACCACAGCCTGGCTTTAACACGCTCAGAGGTCACAGCTCTGCAGTCACCTCCCTCGTTCATCCATCCCTTTCCCAGCCCCTTCCCTCATCCACACATCCTTCTCCCAGCCCTTTCCCTGCACCCAGCCCCATTTCCTTCTCCCTAAACCCCATTCAGAGAAGAGCTGATGCCAGCAGGAAGTCTGAGCCCAGCCTGACCAGCAGCCGTGGCCGGGAGCAGGATTATTTGCCGGGCAAAAAGCCATCGCTGCCACCACCTCTACAATGCCACCCGCTGCCAGGCAGATTAGGTGACTTAATCCTTAAGAAAACAAACTGATCCCTGGGATTTTTTTTTATTATTATCATATTTTAAGCAGAATTCAAGGGCTGCAGACAGCTCATCTCATCTCATCCACGCCCCCAAGCACTGCAAAGCCCCCGTGGGCAGAATACCCCGCAGTTCTCTGTGCTAGGAAACCTCTGCAGCTGGGGAACTGGAGCTTTTCCTGCCTAAAAAAAGATCCTGAATTTCTTCTCTTCCCCCTCAAAAAACCTCCAAGCGTTGCTGGTTCAGGCAGGGAAAGAGCTGCACAGCTGGACAGACGGACRCATGTGGACAGAGAGCCGCCGGCCACAGCTGGGCTCAGCTTGTTTGGAAAGTCACGGGTATTTCGGCGGCGGCGTTTTGCAACCATTCGGTGTCACAACAACAACAACAACTCGGTTCTACTTCTCCAACAGGCCCCGGGGCCGCCCCGGCTCTTTCCTGCTCACGTCAGCTGCAACAGCCTCACCCGGGCCAGGGCTGTTTCCAAACCCAGCCACGGAAAATGACTTGAAGCGGCAGCGAAAGTGAATATTTCATATTTTTCCCCCCACCCAGAGGGGCTCGGAGCTGCCCTCGGGGTTGCACTGGATGCTCAGATCGCTGCAAAATCCCTCCGGGATGCTGCGAGCCCCAGCACGCCGGCCGGGAGCAGTGGTTGAAAAAATCATCTTCTCCCTGGCAGGAAAGGCCGGGCCATGGCAGGAAGCATTTTCTTCCCCGCAGTTTGAATCTTTTCGGATGGCTGCTCTCAGGGCCGGCAGCCCCAGGGGCAGCTCAGCCGCTGGCACGGCCGGAGCTTTCCAGGCTTTGGCAGCTGCAGAGCCGCAGCTATTGAATTATGTTTGCGATTTTTTTTTCTTGGTTTCGTTGTTTGGGTTTTTTTTTTTTTTACGGAAACTTTATAATATTAGCAAAAGAAATCATAAACTCAGGGTGYCGGGAGGCGGGCGGCCGCCTCCGTGCGCTTCCCTGGGTATCGGGTGATCAGGAAGGGGAGGACGCTGCGCCCTTATCGGCACACGCGTTCCCTGCCCCCTTGGCAGCGCAGCCGGCCAGAGGTTTTGCAGCACAAACATATTTTGCTCAAGCAGGAGGCCAGAGTTGAGCTAAGGACAGCTCGATAAACAGAGAGCCCCCAAAAAATCGCCTTTYCGCAGCAGCCTCCCCCATCTGTCTCATCGCAGAGCGAGCGGCCAGCCCAGCTTTGCAGCGATAAACACGGGACCAAGAGCAACCCCCCCTTCTCCCAGCCCCGCTGCCGGGGTGTTTACCAGCTCCTTGCAGGCAGATTGACTCTCCCGCATTTTTTCTCTCTCCAAAACCGCCGGGAAAGCGGAGGGAACCGGCTGGAGCCCCCCCGGGACCGTCCGGCAGAGCTGCAGCCGCCCTCCCCACCGGCACCGCCCGGCGCAGCCACCTCCAACCAGCCGGGACCCCCCGGCTATCGCTGCTCCATCGCGGGCCAGGGATGCGGTGGCATTTACACAGCTGCTCGGCAGGAAAATCCCTCTCCCTGCTCCTCGTTTAAACCCCTTGCATTCAGAGATAACCGCGTTCAGTGCGCTGATGAGGGTGGGAAATGGGGAGGGTGTTCACTGCCGGCTCCTGGCGATGTGTGAGCATCCCCCCGAGCTGCTTGGGACCTTTCTCCACCCAAGACTGAGCTTGGACTGAGTTTATCTCTTGAAATCTGCTCAAAATCTCTGCTTCTTTCAATATGGGAAGGGAAAAGGAGAATAACCCYGTGTCTGAAGGCTTTGAGGTTGGGGCGTGGGAGGAGGGATCAGAGCTGTGGGGTTTGACGGGGTTACCCCATTACTCCTGCCCTGCAGCAGTCAGGGTGACAGCCCCGCACTGCTCTCCTGTGGGCTGGGGACAGCTGTGTCCCCT